ACCGGTCACCCGTCACGAGGGCTCGACAGAATACACGATCGAGCCGGGGGACACCCGACACGTCCACACGCCCTCACACCGCGTTCCAGCCGCCATCGCTTCAAGCTCTCCTCTCCGTCGTCTTCATGTACCACACACCGATATGTCACATTTTTCACTTGAGAGGACCTTGGAGGGAACTCTTGCTGTTCAAGACGGACGCGCGCTATGCGAAGTTGAATCGCTGATCGGAGAAAGGATCGAAGCAGCACAACTACGACACCCAGGAACTCGAGCTGCAGCGAGAGCCTCTCCTTGACGGGCTATAAATCTGGAGGACCCGTTTCTACGCCCGCACGGAGGACCGCCATCTATCTCCACGTCCGCAACAACGTTTCAGACGACGACGTAGAATTTATATAGCGCACCATCTACTGACGACGGCATCTCTAGCCTTTCCCCTGCCTCTTCCTTTGTTACCGGTGTATATGTCATTTAGTGACCGAGCCAAATTGAAGAAAATTGAACTTGCGAAGGCTACAGACGTCTGTCCTACCTACCTAGTCTTACCTACTGAAGTCTTCGTGAATTCGGTTTTCTTCAAGTTGGCTCCGTCGCCTACAGTAATGATCCATATGATCTTTACACCGCACTCAGCTGAGAGGATTTGGCATGGTTTGCGTGACGTATGTAGGAATTGTTTCGTGCAAGTACCGTGTTTTCCACGATTTCACGTGCTAGCTGTTGTATCGGAGACGTACTACGCCAAATCAACAACGTGCTTGAGGATGAGTTTACAGTACTGAGTCGATAAGGCGTGCATCATCAATACTACTGTACTGTAGTCAGCTTGCACATGGAATCGTACTCAATGGACGCCGTACGAGAGGTCATATATGTTTATGTGTTTAAAATGACGCCATTGGAGCAATGTAATAGCTAGGATTTTGTACGGCATCAGATTATGCATATCCAGACCGGTGTTGTCTGTCACGGATACATACGTATCTATGAGGAATTTCCATTCAGCACACGCTGTGTTGTTCGTTGGAAATGGACATTGCGTCGTTGAGGGGGGCATGTTGGAATATTTCAAGGCACTATCGTAGCTTAGCATTAGGTAGTCAGCTTGACTAGTAGTTCAATTATTGGCAATGTTGCTGTATCATGTCGTAGATATTTAACAAATTTTTCTGTCCTGCTCGGAACAAGGAGCCACCCATAGTTGGTGGATGTTCCATGTTTCATATCCAGAATATTCATAGCCTAGATTTCCAGATAGTACCGCCGCAAGTAGCTCAGATTTGGTGCTTGAAGGCTTGAATATTAGTATTCGTATGCGCTCAGCAGCCGAATTTGGAAGTAGTGCAATTGTTGAAGCTGTATTCTGTGTTTAGTCGTACGTCAGTGCAAGTGACCAGGTATTCTTGCAAGTACAGCAGTACTTGATGTGCATACGTGGCACAAGTTCGAGAGCATGGTGTTGGAGTCATGTTTTTCCGGCACGTATCTTAGCGTACCAGTACCGTATTCTGAACATGCGCGATTGGTCGACGATGCCGAATAGGCGTGATTCCATGATTTCGAGGATGAGCGCGCACTGGCCCCATCCTCTCACTCTGCTTCTATGGGGTTCTCCACCCCTCTGCGTTTATGGAGAGATCCATCTCTGTGATTTCACTCTGTTTCTCTACATTATGATCAAGCAGCATTTCTACCAACCAACCTTATTTTCCTTCGGATTTCCTGCGTGCTCAGAGCCAAGCCTCTCGTACCAAAGAGTCCAGCGGCACAACTAGTATATTTGCTACGCCTCGCTGTACAGGATACGTACAGGCTCATACGCAGCACTTGAGTTTTGTCTTTGACCTGTGACTACAAGATTGCACCACCGGGTACTCTGCTTATGTACATCAGTGGTCATTGCTGCATACGCGCGTTCTACTTGCGCACCACACTGCGGAGAGAGCACGCATCAACTCAAAAGAAATTTAGGACAAATCGTTTCGACGACAATCAACAACACCTCTTCAAGAACCGATACGGGACAATAATCAACACCCACAAGCCTACATTCCGAAGATCTTGAAGATTTTTGCAACACCCACAAACCTACATTCCTAAGATGTTGAAGATTAATTGTGAAGCTTTAAGATGTTGCTTACAACGTAAAGGGCTGAAACGACTGGCCCTTGGTGGGATTAGGGGACAATTCTGCCAAACGGCACATGGTCGAAGCGCATAGCCTAGCGGAGTGAGAAGGAAGACGTCTCTGCCTCACCTTCCGCGGCTCTCCAGGCGTATCCAGCATCCGTTGCGCCCGCTGTACCTTGAGGTTCGTTTCCATCTTTTTCCGATAATCAGCAAGATTCTTTTGCAAACACGAAAAGAAACAGAGCCAAATGTGGGTGAATGAGACTGATCGGAATGCAGAGGATCTGAACGCATGGAACGGCGGGTAGGTAGTTGGGCACAACCACATGCTCCGGCGACCTGTCGCCTTCGTAGGAGTACGTGGTGTATGTGGCACATGAAAACTTTCCACTACGTGTTTCAGCGACGAAGAGAACGTCGATGCAAGCACAGCGAACTGTACACAGCTACACAGATTCTCACCCGACACACGCTCGCTTCTGTCCCTTGCCGAAGTATATTTTCCCGAAAGGATCGACCTACGATTCGGGAAGTTTGCTCTCCGAGAAAAAGAAGATTGAAGAAGCATCCCCCGGATCAATACTTGGTCGCTAGAGGTCAAAGGCCAACAAAGTCCAGGTGTTCCAGAAGGCTTCACAACAAGCAACAGTTGCGTATGAACCTCGCCAGACGTACTTTGGCGTTACCAATCTCGAGGTTCAAAGCACGAGCGCAGTCATCTCTCCCAGCATCAATAGCAGCTTCCAGAGCGGTCTTGCCGTCCACGTCTCGGATGCTGCGATCGGCCCCGGCTCGCAAGAGTGCGTCAATACATTTCATTCCTGCGTAAAATATTATGTACCAACTTCGTTATGAAGGCTGCATTGATGCATTGACACCGCATCGGAAACCAGAATGTTCCACGGAATGCCTGACGAAGTGGAATTGCGTATGAACCGTAGACTTGTCGGTTGTGATGGCGGGGAAACGATGCGTGCCTAACGTCAAGCAACCCAAAGAAGTATCGCTAAAGGCACATGACAGTTCCTCAGACGATCAGAACATCCAACGTCAAACACAAAGTCTGCCCATCATCTCGCCTGCAGGAGACTGTACCATGCAAAAGGAGAGGACCACCTCACGCTTATGATACAGCATGCTTGGTTGCGCTTGCCCAAATGGATGTGATCATTGTGCTTCACGAACAGTCTTGTGGAACAGGTTGTAGCAAGAAGCTCTCACACTGAACGTTTCCATTCTTGGTTCGATACCCTCTCCAGCAAAAGTGGTCCACAATCGCCACCTCCTGGTTCGTTGGTGACTCTAATTTCAGTATTTACCGTTGACACCATCTGACGCCGCCAGGTGTAGAGGCGTCCAGCCCTTGATGCTCCGAAGATCGATGCAGCTCCGCTGAAGTCCGGCCCCGTCGTGACCCAGGTCGTTGATGCACAATATCTCCACGCAGCGGACGTGGCCGTTCCAACTCGCGTAGTGGAGAGCCGATAAGCCAAAGTCCTGTTGCGTCGAGGGACATAGGAGTACGAGAGTCGTTACACAAGTGATGTCGACCGTGTCGATGCTTTCGTTTCCAAGCATCTTTCACCATCGTACTCAAGTTACGAGTAAAGACATTCGTATAGAATTGTGGGGAGTAAATGGTCCTCTACGGTTGTCAAGACAGGCAGCCCGTGTGGCGACTTGACAGGCAGTCAGTTTCGTTCACGGAAATACGAATGGGCGATGTGGATATTTCCTTCAAAGGCTACGTTCCCAACGTCTGTCGAGGACAATTCCCTCTTTTCGCAAAGGTGTGGCGCTGCGATGTCTGATTCTTATGGCAGAACACAGCCCGGCTGCAATTCCCGCCAACACCTGCCTTTCATAGTTCGGAAAACATGGTGAGCGACCAAGATTCTAAGATATCTTGAAATCGTACGACATAGCGGAGGGGGTTGGCCCGCTGGCGTAAAAGAGAACGTGAGGATAAAACTCTGAAGAACTGAAAAATGGGGCACGCCACCAGCCGTGCGGGCTCCGGGTACCCCCTGTCTTCTTGCGTCAATCGGCGGACACGAAAACGGTACTCGTAAGCGGGGGGCAGGTGATGTTGCTTCATGAGGGGTATAATCTTCCCCAACGTCTGCCAAGGGCGATGAGCTCTTTTTGGGATGTGTCATAGATCCATGAAGTGCAGCCAACGACGCCCAGTCTACAGCAGAAGCTGTGCGCGCGAAACATATCGTCATCAAAGTCTTGAATGCAAACAAAGCAGATGTTGTCCCGTGATGTCTCTGATATATGTTGCACAATTGTGATCGCGGGTGGGTGTAGATGTCGGCATGACCAAGGCTGGCTTTGGATTGAACGGCCAACATGTAGCTCTCTTTCTGCTGTGGATCCACCACATACGCCTATGCGGTAGTTTACTGCTGTAGAGGCTCACATCCATCGAGCAGGGATTCGACCCTTGTTCGAGCAGGTTTTTTATCTTGTCCACTTCGCCAAATATTGCGCACCGGCGCAGAAGTTCCCCACTCATGCGTCAATGTGTGCACTGTCAGGCTACAATAGGACCGCACATGTCCCCTGGGAATGCCTGTCTCAGGGTAGTCAGGGTGGGTATTACAGACCAATTTCGAGAATGTGCGGCGCAACTCATGTCGTTTCGGCACGTACATGTGCTGTAGATGCGGCGCAACCTACAGCAAGGCAAACACGGAGGACAGGGGGGAGCAGTGCGCACAGCAGTGTAGCTCACCTTTCAGCTACATGAGAGAGTCATAATGTGACAGGTACCCAAAGTCGGGCACCCCTGCATTGTCATTCAAGGTATTCTTGACGTCAGGCGATTCCTCGAAGAGTGCTTCATCTCCACGCGTCTTTCGATGTCGTCAGCAGCCGAGACATCGCCCGTGATCAAGATCCTCGTTGTTGGAGATGCTGGTGTCGGGAAGACCAGCGTCATCCAGAGGTGAGCGAGATATACGCTCGGTAGGGCATCGAACACGGAAATCAAGCGATAACCCTTCCTTCCGGCGGTCGCGAATTGGTGTGTACACAGGAGTGGGTGACTTTCATCTCGAGGACGACACAGACAGATTGCTTCATCGTGGCACGGTGAACTCCAGAGGAAGCACACCCAATATCCACCATGTAGATTACCAATCTCCCCACTCCCATCAATGGATTCAGACTATTTAGTTAACAAAGCACATGCAGGTGAAGTCTTGAACTTTGAAGTATGGGCCCGGGGGAGTGTGCACACCTCCTCTTCAGCGCCAGGAAACGTCTTCCAAATATGGATTTTTGAAGTTTGTCGAGGTCAAACATTGATTTTCGAATCTAATTGACACAAAATATCACACCCCTCGACCAATTTTCTTAGCACGACAACTCGACAGCAGAAAGAGTGGCGGTGCCGCGAATGGTAGCTCTGAAACCGTCTCGTCGAGAGCTTTCCGAAAATGCACTGTTTGACTGTGTGGCATCATCTTCGATATAACGGGTGTGATCTTGGGGATGTAGGCTTGTGGGTGTTGACGACCCGTATCGGCTCTCGAAGAGGTGTTGTTGTTTGTCGTCAAAAAGGGTAGTCCTAATTTACTCTTGAGTTGGTGCGTGCTCTCTCCGCAGTGTGTCGCGCAAGTAGAACGTGCGTATGCAGCAATGACCACTGATGTACATAAGCAGAGCACCCGATTGTGCAATCTTATAGTCACAGGTCAAAGGCAAAAACTCAAGTGCTGCGTGTAAGCCTGTACGTATCCTGTACGGCTGCAGCGCGGCGTGCCAACTCACTTGTTGTGCCGCTGGACCCTTTAGTACGAGAGGCTTGGCTCTGAGTGCGCAGGAAGGTCCGAAGGAGAAGAAGATGGTGTGGTGGAAATGTAATTACTTGGTCAGTGGAGACCAGAAAGAATGTAGAGAAACAGAGGGGTAGTGAACCCCGGAGAAGTAGAGAGGTTGAGAAACCCCAAAGAAGCAGAGGGTTGGAGAACCCCCAGAGACGCAGAGTGAGAAGATGGGGCGAGTACGCGCTCATCCTCGAAATCATGGAATCACACCTATCCGACAACGTTGACCAATCACACGTATTCAGAATACGGTACTGGTAAGCTAGGATACGTTTCTGGAAAGATGACTTCAACACCATGCTCTCGAACTTGTGCCACGCATGCACATCAAGTATTGTACTTGCACGCACAAGTGATTACTTGCACTGACGTACGACAAACCGCAGAATACAGCTTCAACAATTGAACTAATGTACTTTCCAAATTCGACTGCTGAGCGCAGACAAATATTCATTCATTCAAGCACGCAAGTCTGAGTTACTTGCGGCGGTACATATCCTTTCATACACACAAGTCAGAGGCACTTGCGACAACTACCCGATGCATATATATTTCCGAGCACGCAAGTCTGAGCTACTTGCACTATGACATATTTCTGGAAATCTAGGCTATGCAGATTATTTCTGGATATGAAACACAGAAAATCAACCATGTCTCCATATTCCGAGTATGACAGACCATACGGAATTTTACCTACTACATGACATAGCGACATTGACAATATTTGAACTAGTCAAACTGACTACCTAATGCTGAAGCTACGGTAGTGCCAAATATTCCAACATGTGACATCAATGTCACCTACGGTATCATCACCGCGAAAAAGCGTTCGCGGAATTACACGAGTGTCCTTTTTTATAGGCAGGAACGAAACCCTCACGATGGGGTAGTTAGAGCCAAATTGAGTGCGTGCGGCCGGCGACTTCAGTGCATCTCTTCACCGATATATCCTACCCGACTTAATTGATTTACCTGGGGCCCTGAAAATGCGTAGGTCTAGCCGTAAGCAAAGGTGCATGAAGAGTTCGAAAATCGGACCACTAACACACGCAGTATTTTCAAGCCTGCTTGTGGCTCAACGAAAATCGACTCGTTTCGAAAATCGCCCACCTCAAATCTGTAGACTTCCACAAGGCGCGCGCGCCTGCGGAATGAACTCACCAGAGCATTGTATTATAGTAGTGTCATCAAGGCGCGATACAAGACGAAAGTAAAGCACGTGTTGGTGTGAATCAATCAGCTTTCAGCTGCCATCAGTGACGCCCCCCAAGCTATCAGCTCATACAGCTGGCGTGTTTTTGACTCGAAGAGCCCAGCGAACCTCAACGAACCAAAATGAAAAATTACGAATACAGTTTTGTATCTCAACGGCTACGATCCTTGCTGCTGACATTGTACACTCACTCGCGGATTTCCACCAACCCTTTCTGGTGATACTGAAGATTAGACTTGAAAACATATTCGACGACGATTCCTGGTCGTTGAAGTGGAAATCTGCAAAACTCCCTCGAACCCTTGGCGACATTATGGCCGTTTTGCTCTCTGTCACCGATACATGCAAGCCCTTCTCTCCGCATTGATCGTTGCCTTGGAATTGCTCAGTTTCTGCCGGAGAGCGACGCATGAAAAGCTTGTTCGCATACGAATGACAAATAATAACTGAAAACCGAAACAACAGTGATATATATATTGGCGGCACGGGGGACTGAGGTCGAAGCGTTGCTGGGGTTGGCGTCTTTTTGCTTGGCCAGGTGTTCGACAGACCGTGTGTCGTGTCTGAAAACTCGAGGTGCGCCCACTGCACACATGAATCCACAGGCTTCTTCTGTATCACTCTACTCAATCACGGTTCGCTCGCCTCCGCTCTCCTGATTCGCCGTCAGATTCGTGAACGACGAGTTTTCGCCGACCCACCGACCAACAATTGGGGTGGACTTTTTCATCAAGGAGGTTGCCCTCAACGGCGATCAGAGCGAATCGTTTCCGGGTACTACCGTGCGCGTACAGCTATGGGATATTGCGGGGCAAGATCGCGCAAGGAAAATGAACAGAGTGAGGGAATGAGCTGATGACAAGAAATCGACTTCAAGCGCAATTCACTGCAGAACAAGTTGCCGGACGGAATGCTCACGAATATCCACGTGTGCCCTTACGAGAATAAAGGTATCAGAGATCTACCCCCCACATAGCAAGCCATCAACTCCATGGTTGCCTTGTTCTACAAGTCTGATATACATTCGTATGAGTTCCACGTGTGGTGTACCAACCAGAAATTCGTTTCCGTTTCGTCTTGATTTGGAATTTCTAGTACTTGAGAGCTGTGACGCTATAGCCACAAAAGCTCAATTGACTGTGGTTCCCCACCGACAGCATGCCCTGGATCGAGAAGTTCTCCGTGCGGAGGCTACACAACGTTTCTATTTTGTCGGTGCGGACTCTGCTGTAGTTAATCATTTCAATCTATCGTGGAACGAACCCCTATTGGATAGCCATAGATTCAACGTCCTCTTGGTAGTAGATCCTGACAATACATTACTAAAACACGTGTAGCACTGGCGGTAAGCTATCGCGAGGGTGGCATCTTTCCGTCAATACGTTCTGAATTCTATAACGTGCTCCATTGTCAATCAAAACCAGGCCTACTTCAAGGGGGCGCTTGGTGCGTTGGTCGTTTACGACATATCTCGCCCCCAAACGTTCGACTCCGCCGCAAAGGTTAGTAGGTGGATAACCAACGTTGAACCTACGACTGAGTGTGTTACTCCAGGCACGTACCATTCGTTCAGTGTCACCGTACTATCTGACGGGAACTATTGGAGTATGTACTACATGGTAATGTCTCAGACACTGTAGGCTGACCTCGACCGGATTGTTTCATACAATTCAAGACTGATGTGACGGTTCGGGTTTGTTCGATTCTGTCGCAACGCATTTCCTTCGGAAGAGGAAGTGAATCTATCCACAATGAACCAAGTGCGTAGGGGTGGACATGACCTGCACTGACGACACGAAAGAATCACAGGTACGCAGAGCAAACCCCCCCTGAAACGAAATGGACGATACACTACAGAAATGGAGTGATTGTGATTGTCAAAATACATTTTGTTCTTCGGATTCCCGGGTGCTAGTGGAAACAGGAGCTGGACGCCAACATCACGCTTCCCAACGGCAGCAGCTTGCCGGTGGTTCTCCTAGGGAACAAGGTGCAACAGCTGGCTAATGCAATATTTCAAATACATTCTTACGTATCACTCAAGACGGGGAATGAATCCGCAACGACTCGATGATCATTTGGTATCATCAATCAGAGTAGACCAAAAGGCACACACACGCCGTAGGTATTGCTAGGAGCAAGGCAAGGTTCATTCGCTGTCCTTCGGAAGTCTTCAACATGGAATCATCTGAAGATGTCGAATGAAGAGTATCTCTACTAGTAGAAGTCCACCATCGTGCATTTTGCCATTTGAGGAGATGAGTGCGTTTCATAAGTGACGCATTCGAGTGTGGTAATCCCCGGCGCCGACGGTGTCTTCTACGAGCTAGTGAACATGACCCAGGCCAACAGCATCGCTCTGTCCATCCGTGCAGTGCTCGCAAAATACGTCACCAACAACGGTGTGGGAGAAGTTGTTGTGATCGGATAAATCAGTATTTGGTCAGTCGAACTCAGTGAGGTATACTGTAGAACGGGAAACATCCCCAAAGCTCTCTGGAACTCACGTTTAGGGTAGATGGCGTCATGAATCATTGGAGGAGTGGGAGTTGGCGCGTGGTTTCTGCACCAATTGATATCATTTGGAAACGGAGGCCGCGGGCGTGGTGATGTTTGGAGGTAGTCGTGTGACATCAGAATATATCGAAATCGAATCGAGGGTTTGAAGTGAACACGAGGAAGACGAATAGCATACACATACATTCATGCATGCCTACACGTACTTACCTTACCCTGAATGGCTCTGCCATGAATGATTGCCCTTTCCGGCGTGATCGAAATAACTGCCCAGGTTGACCTCGAAGTGGCCAAGGTTGACGTGTCCTACATCGATAGCTTCGTCGAAACGCACAGATTCGTCGCTTGGTGAGGCAGCATTCTTGTTTGAATCGTATGTTTGCATTCATCCTGAAATTGACCTCTCTCTGCAAGAACGTCTCGGTGAGGCTTTGATACTTGTTGTGGTCTGAAAGCATGATTGGGGTATATAACTCTGACTTAATTCTCGAACGGCCGACCCAAACGGATGCTCTGAGCCGGCATGGCGTATGTAGCGGGAGGGATCAGCGGGGTCACTCAGGTATGCTTACAAGAATAAACATTTGTTTGCCCACAGCGTCTGCTCGGCGGTACGTGCTCCATTCATCGTAATATTTTTGGGAAACAAGCAACAACAATCTATATTGACGCGTGTATGTTGACGTATATTGCTGCTTGACTCGGTGGCCGGTTGTCTCGTCCTCCTGGCCGATCGATACGGACCTGATTTTGATGCCCCTTTGGACGAAAGGAGCGACGTCTCGGCGAAAGACGCAATCAACGGTGATTTCGAGATGTCCGTCGCGTGCCTCATCCAGAAACTCTTGTGCGACGAGGAGCTTTTCGGGCCAGGCATGAGGTAGGTGAGAGGGTGAGTGGTGTGGGCAACAACGTCCCCTCACAACTTAAAGTGCACAAAAACCATATCTGGGGCACTTCAACAACAACAATAACAACAACAACAACAACAACCACCTCAACCACAACATCCAACAAGGTGACCTGGAATTTGACCTCCTCCACCTCTGTTCAACTTTCTTGCATGAAAGGCGGAGCGCCGCAGCCTTTTCAACGAGATTACAGGCGAGAGAACAAAGCGCACATCACACCGGCTCTTCTTCCAAGGGAGTGCGACTGGCGTTATCAACCGAGGCGACTGGTCAGGCTTCCAATAACGGTTGCTGCGGATGATGTCCAATAATGTTCATCTACCGATCGACTGATCCCTTGACCACCTTGGGTGGTTGGTATACATCGATCGATTACTACCTGGTAGCAGCAGTTCATGGAGTTTGTTTGGCCTCGATGACACGAATTAAAACATGCTAGGAGATTTTGTTTTTTTGTATTTTTGTTTTTTCGTCTTCACTTCAAATCAGCGCTCACAGGACTATAGTGCCGTTTACTCCAACCCGTCACACAGAAGAGCCCCTCTCTACCCTCCCCTCCTGCGGTACTTTGCCTTCGATTTCTAATGCGAGGAGAGTTCAGCACTCCCTTCCCTCTGTGTACACACGAACTAGCGCTATCTACTAGGCCCGAAGCGGAAGCGAGAGAAAAACTCACTTACGCCGGGATTCGAACCCCTGACCTGCCCCCTGGAAGGTTTCGAGGATACCAACTAGACCACCGGGGCGACCGGTCAGGAGATAGATGTAGTTCATGGTGCACTCCAACGCGAGGGGGGGTACTACAAGGCACCAGAAGCCGTAGTACGTCTCTGACAAAACTTCCAGAGAGCAATCCTTCAGCATCAGATACTTCCTTCAGGTATCAAGTGATCCCCAGTTGTCGTGATATGTGACAATCGGCTATATACAGTTGCCCATGGCGGCGAAGTATGGTGTATTTATCAACATGCGCATGGTATGTATGCATATATCCTGGCATGAAAGTGTCCTCCGTTCTTGCCGGAGAAAGCCATCCTTGCACCAGCTTAGAGAGCGTAACCCAAGCTAGACACTTCATTGAGGAAGCCATCCCACACCTATGCTTGATTGAGATGACAGGAACCAAGCCACCCGGGTGTCAGCTCGAGCGACATTTGCCAGGCGAGGCCATACTTGCAACAACACCGGAGAGCCAAACGCAGCTAATTGTGCCCCAACAACAAACCAATTTCCTCCTTCACAGAAAAATCAGACGAAAAAACTTCTCGTCTTTGTCCGGAAGTTCAAACCACCCAAAGAAATCCGGCCCGGGGTGCACACAGTCTCCCGCCCGGGGTGCAGACAGTCCGCAAGGTTTCCAATCATTGCCGCGCATTCGTTGAACTAAAAACAATTTGTGCATTATCAATTATTGCTCGTGCAGTCAGTCAATGTATGTCATTGCTAGATATTACCTGTGCAGCAGTGCAGTCAGTCGCACGCATTTCTCGCGATCGACAATCGCCATTGCTCCTCCCTTCCTTCCCTTCTCTCCAGGCTATCGCCCTCCGTTACCCGTCTATCCCTCCAAGCAAATAGACAACGGAGGCGTGCCCTCCCTCCCTCTTCGCTAGCTATCACTATCACCCGAAAACAATTCGTCTCCTCCGTCCACAAGTCATTTTGTACAAACTTCACCAAATGCCGGCGGGGCCAGATCTGAACGGTCTTCCTAGCTGGGAACAAGGGTCCCTACTAGGCACGCTATACCCACCCCGCATTGTTGTTGCTCTTTTTGTATGGCTCTCCGAGAGAGAGAGAGACGCGCACACGACGACACATAACATGCATTCACTCACTGCTAAGCCGTACACGTACGTCTTGAATATACCTATCCCTACCCTAAACACTAACGCTAACTACTCGTTCCGCCTGCCATGGAAAATGTATGATGATGGTACATGTTTTTCGTCTACAGGAGTTGGAGTTGTACTCTCTGCTAGTACACCGCAACTCCCCAACCAAAAAACTGTGTTGATTAGAGACCGTTGACTACCACATTCAGAAGGCCTACCTATGATACACCAGCAGCAGCCACAAAGGAAGAAGACACGCGCGACGTCCAACACCCACACCAAACAAAACAAAACTCTAAGCGAAGTTAAGGGCTCGCACAGGGGAGCCAAAGATTGGCATGCCCGCACCGCCCCCACAAGGGGAGCTGTTCATCTCTGCGCCGCAAGTGGACGACGCCGTCTTGCCCGGCGTCGCGGCGTCTGCCGCTCCGAAAGAGAATGTCGAGGCTCCGTCGACGACCGTCGGCGCCACGTGGGCGTCTTCCTCGTCGTCGTCCTCGCACCCGTAGAACCGTTCGATGATCTCGATCGCCTTGTCGTAGACGGCTCTGTTGTGTGTTTGTGTTGATGTTTGTGTGTTGTTCCGGGAGAAGGGAGGATCCGACAGCAGCGTTTTCGTCAGCTTGTTGTGGTCTCCGGAAACGAAACGGGATGGACGATATGAGACATGGATCGCAGCTTCGTACACTCAAAATAAATTTACAGCGACGACACTTGTGCGAATCACGTCTTGAACGAGCCGAACATACAACGACGGTTCGTTCACCGACGCCGTGGGCTAGCTCAGCTTGCGATAATTGCTACCTCTTTTCGTTTTGTCTTGGTTGGCGGCCCAGCCCAGCCCAACGACAGAAGCAAAACCGTACCGAGACAAAAAGAGTACATAAAATCTGCAACAAAATGTAACCCACCTGTTCTCGTGCTCCTGCAGCTGCTCGAGACGGTCGAGCCCGCCGGACTCGTCGAACATCTGCACCCACGGGAGCCCGTTGTCCTCGCTGTCCAGAGCAAAGATCGCCGATATGGCATCGAGCGCCACCAGAATCGCCTGTGAGTGAAATCCGTTTCACACGTTCGCGAGCGCAGCCACGTCAAACACAAGCGGAGGGATGGATGCATGCAGTTCTATAGAAACGACCTCTGATGTCAAGCTTGTGCGATTCACCTCTCCTAAGCTGACCTCCACGTTCTCAAATATGTGCAGTTGTCGACGCAGCTCGACATAGCGATCACGAAAGTTGTTGGTACACTATCCGGTCAGGTCATTTCCGTAAGACAGTTATCTAACGAAAGCGGGAACGGACAAACTCTTGTGCAAAAACTCCCATGGTTGCCGGGTCATGTACCGTGGCAGCGTTCACTACCTCGCACCAACAAATACGAAGGTATCGAGCCTGTCTGCCACAAGAATTCGGCTGCACAGCAGAACCAATCCAAAAAGGGCGAGGACTCGACCAGAACACCATGTTTGGAAAAAAAAGCACACACACACACACACACACACACACACACACAGCCCACGAGACTAGAATGCCGCCGCACACATAAAGCGCTCGTCGTTCCAAAAGTTCACTCATTCAGCTCGACCGTCTTTGCGAGGAATTCATTTGTTGTCGATGAAATGGAACTGGCGGGCTCGTAACCCTTACCCTAACCTACACCCCACGTCGTAACCCTTGCCCTAACCTACACCCCACGTCGTAACCCTTACCCTACCCTACGCCCCACGTACCCCCCACAAAAAACAAGCTCAATATCCTCGCGGTTTCATGAGCAATCAATGAACCAATAAATCACCTTCGCGTCGGCACGGTCGAGCATCGAAGATAGTGCCGGGATCGCTTCCAGGTTAACGAGTTGTCTCACTCGCGACGCTGCATGCCCACGATAGAAGATCCGCCGAGTTTGTAACCGAGCAAGATGCATGTACGATAAGGGACGATGGTGAGGTTAGTGTGTGAGACGTGTCTGTCGACTGTTGTTAGAGGTCGTCAATGCTGTCTGTCAACTAAATAGTACCCGTGTACGAAAAGAGCGCGGGACGGGATCACACAGACCACGCATATGGGCCAGTCAGTCCCCATAAAAAAAAAAAAAATGGGTCAAGTCTGGTTGTTTCCCGTGGCCGACAACTATACATCACCTATTTACGCAAACAACAACGCATCACTGACGGACTTTGTCGGTGTGTTTTGCTTGCCACCTGAAAGAAAATAACCGCAGTGCCATGAGGCTAAATATCTCGACCGCGATCCAAATTTTACCACGAGTTTTATTTACTTTACAGTACCGATGAGATTCGGCGCTCAAACGCGCAAACACCAACGAAAGTCAGGCAAAATAGGCGGGCGGCAGACGACCCAGCCGCGCTGCGCGCGTCCGCTCGCTCACCGTCGCTTGCAGTGGCGACGTTGCTGATGACAAAGTTGGCCTCCTTCTGCACCTCCCATACGTCGCCGGACAGAAGCTCGATCACTCCCCCGAGGAGCCCTGGGCTGTCGCACACCGACGCCATCTGGGGCGACGTTCCCGCGACGATGTTGCTCAGAGTCCAGCACGCCTCCTGTTCGTGGGACACACGCGCGCGGGAGGTGTACAAAAGAGGTTCGTCACACGACAGAAACGTTTGCCCTCTATGCATATCTCTGTGAATCAGTCGCCTATGGGCTGGGTGGGAAGATTGTATGTACATAAGCTGCGGGAAGACCAGACGCGGCCAACCGGACGAACAAAAATGCCAACACATACCCATGGGCTCAACCGAGGCAACTTCAAAGCACCTAGGGCTTTTGCTCTTTGCCCAACAATAAAACAAAAAATGCAAAACACACTCAATTGTGCTGCCCCCTTATATTTCTGTTCCGGGAAAAAAATGCACCGCGGGTCTGCGTACGACTTGCACACGTGCAACGGGCAACATGACCCTGCCCCCGTCCCAAGCAGTGAGATGATTGGTCACCTTGCGGATATTCTTCTTCGGGTGGCGTAGCAAGGACTGGAGGTGGGGAAGAACGCCCAGGTCCAGAACCGCCTGCTCGAGAAACACGACAAGAAAAACACGCCGCATCACACGAGGGTTTGTTAGCCGTAGTGCAAATGCCGGACCGAAGCGTCGCGACAGGCTGACAAGGAGGGGTGGTGGGGGGTGCGACTCTGCATGGACACCATGCCTTGATTCTCAAGACCCTCGCCTATCACGACGCCACACCCAACAGAAAAGTACACAAGAGGTGTCCAATCCAGTCCACAGCAGTTCATCGCGAAGGCTCTGACATGCGTGTTGGTCGGCCATACGTTGTGAGAGGTGCTGCATGAACTCTCTGCCCAGACACGGAGTCACGGCAACAAGCAAATGGAAGAAAGTGGCAACGGGGCAGATGGTGTGTCTCCCCCCCAATCAAAAACGCACCTCGGCAACTGAAATATCGCTGTGTACTACACCAGATAAAGTTGCCAGGAGACCACCGACGGGCGGCATGTGTGCACCTTCGCGATCGGCGGGCTCATCCCGCCGCCAGAGCTACCCTCCCTCACACCACACGAAGCAGAGGTGTTCCAACAAAACGACGAGAAAAACAATAATCACCTGCGTCTGCACGTCGCTGCCCGTGACGAAGTTGCCGAGCGTTCTCAGGGCCGGGGTCACCACGTTGCTGTCCCCGTGCTGGAGCAGCGCCGTCAAGGGTCGCGCGACACCGGACGAGATGACCGTCTCAATGCGCTCGGTGGTGCCATCGGAGAGGTACGACAAGGCCCAGCAGGTGTCTACCAACACCTGCGAGTTGCGGCAAAGCGAAGAAGATTGTGTCGTGCGGTAAGAACAGGGGAGAAGCGGAGAACAAATCAGTCAGCAACACGGGGAAGAGACCAAAGTCGATCCGGCCAGTTTGAGTCTGATCGTTTCCGAGATAAAGACGCAGCTATACGCACAGAGGGAGTTGGCAGAGAGTGAGAGATAAGTCCGCTTCTTCTCGGTGCAACCAAACGACGTTCTAGATTTCGGACACGCAACTCGGAGGTGTGCATCAAATGGCCGACCCGCGAAAGCTCCTTGCCGTCTACCTGTTTTTGACGCTAACAACCCTCAAAAGGTTTCGGACATGCGCACATGCTTCGGACCAGTGCTTAGAATGCCTCCCCCCCACTCTATTGCGGTCGTACACTCGGATGGGCGTTCCGATTGCCCAGCAACTCTTCATAACACTGTGTCTCGTAGTCTCGTAGCAAGCACAGCCGCCTCCCGTAGGTGACATGTGACGCAAGATACCACACACCCCGAACCGATCTTCACGGCTCGACCACCCCACGACGACAAAGACGCATGAATCACCCGATACGTTTTCAGAAAGCTCTCGACGAGTCGGTTGAATTGAACACCACCGTTTTCGGCGCCTCCGCTCTTTCCGCTGTGGAAAAATCAAGGCTTTGAATTGAACATCGGCGCCCAGGGGGGAGGGAGGTGATATCGACTGTCACAGCAGAAAACTCTACCTCCGAGTCGTCGGACGACAGCAGATTCAGCAGCACCGGCAAGGCCGGGGCGAGCAGGGACATGTCGGGCTGCGGCTTCCCGCGGCACATGTTGCTCAAAGCCCACACGCAGTTCCTCAGCAACGACGGCGTGGCCGGCTGCACGACATTGAGCAGCAACCCCTCGAGGGCGTCCGGGGTACCCAGGACCACGTCACGGAGCTCCTGACGACCGTCGAGACAACAAATGAGAGATACATCCAGAGTTGAGGTCAGAACTGCGCCGTTTTGAGTGTTGTTGTATAGGGAGTGGGTCATGAGCTTGAGCGAGCTTCCCCGCTCTGTGCGATACACGAGCCCATGTTTCAAGCAGCGGAAACAAAGTCCCCAAACCAACCTGGAGCTCAAGGTAGAAAACATACACCTACATAGGCCGTTGACCATCCGTAAACAAGAAAGCGCTTGAAATTGCAAACAAACAAAAAACAGCCAAGAACGAACGGTTCATGTCTTTCGAAAACCCGCGCTAGCTGTTTGGGCGACAGACAGCCCTTCAAGAACAAACAAATGAATCAAAGGTAGAAACGAAACAAGAGAAAACACTGCTGTTGGGCACCGGTCCAGAGTTTCCCGTACACGTCGGCCTCGCTTGCAGCAAAAAGCGACACGGGCAAAAACACCATACTTGTTCCCGGAACTCGAAAATGATAATAGCGATCGAAACGAAAATACTTAATACTCACGGCGCAGTCTCCGGCGATGTTGCCGAGGCACCACGCGCACTGCTCGCGGAGGTCCTGGTTGTGGTGCCGGAGGTTGCGCACGAGGGCGGGCACCGCACCGTGCTGCACGACTGCGTCCGTCTTGCAGGTGGAAGCGATGTTCGTCAGAGCCCAGGCCGCCTCAAACTGCGGCCGGCGGGTAGGGAAAAAATGCAGCAGTGGCGTGCGTCCGACGCGCGCAACAAAATTCGTTGGGGATGATGACACACGAAAAGTCCTACGCTATTTATTCGAATATGATACTGCTGTGCGCCAAGTGCTCTCAAAGAAACTCCGCGAAACTCCGCACGTTGTCAACGCATGTGCAGCATGTAAAACACTGGCGGGGACAGAAAAAAAAACGCTCTGCAACCGAAAATACGAACACAAAAAAGCACCCGACACAGAGATGAGAGTCGGGCATATGCAGAGCGTGTTAGGTGGTGAACTGTACATGCCCATTGGCGGAGGTTTTGGGGATGGAAGGCTAGCTGTGTGGCGAGATGCCAAGTCCAGCGAGAGGGTTGGAGGTGGTGGCGGTGGTTGCTGCTATGCATACGTACCGAATGTATTTTCAGTTCATATGCTGCTGTTCAACCGATGCCATGCTGATGGCAGCGCTCCCTCTTGTGACGACCACTGAATACTCCAGCTGAACTGGAGGACTCACAATTCCGCCAACACCTTCCCATTCTCCCGCGTCCAAAATGCTATGAGCTTTGTGTGTGCGCGATACGGGAACGCCTACAGCAAGCTGTGTACTTGCTTGGTCGAATGGTCGAACGGACAACCCAGTTATATTAGCCTACTCTGAAATTGCATGCATCCATGAGGCATCCATCCATCCGTTTTTATCCACACCTACATAAAGTAGGACGAAAACACAAAAACACACACACACACGTATGTAGAAGTACAGACTACAGCAGCCTAGGTAGCGCTAACAGCAGTGCTGCAAATCCAAGAGAACCACACGACTCACCTGCAAGTCCGTGCTGCTGTGCTCGTCCAAGCAGAGCACCAGCAGCGGCATCGCGCCGGCCTGGATAACCTCCGCCACGGGAGGGTCGGTCTCGAGAGAGAGCACCTTCCGGAGGCCTCTCGCGGCCTCCACCCTCGCGGCCGGGCCGCCTGCGCCCGCCGCCAGCGCCCTGGTCAGGTCGGGCACATCCGCCGCGGAAACCGGCTTCTGTGCCGCGTCCTCCTGCGCGGCGGCCGGGCCGCCGGCTGAGTGAGGGATGGCGGCGCCGGCAGCAGCAGAAGCAGCGGCTGATGATGATGATGACATGGTGTTTCGCCGCTTGGCCAGGCCAGATTCCTTCTTCTGCTTGCGGAGGCTGAGCGCGGTATCGGCGCGTCGTCGCCGGAGGTCGGTGGGGTCGACCCCGGCCTTGATGTCGCGGCGCTTCTGCATGGAGGAAGACGAGGTCTGGGAAGACATGGCTGCGAGTTCTTCGGAGAGGGTTGGTTGGATAGTACTGCTGTAGAAGAGCTGAGAGTGTGAGAGTGCCGTGTGGCGGTAGGGGGGGCGGCAGGCATCCATCCGCGCCGTTGCTTTTGGCGCCAAATATGTGAACTGGCCGTTGGGAATTAACGGCCGTTGGGTTTTTTTTTTTCTTGAAAAGCGTTTCTTTTTTTTTTTCGCGCATTTTCAAAGGCGACCAGCCATGTAACACAAGGCGGCCAGCCAGCCGCGCGGCCCTTTCAAGAAATGCTCATCCCCAGTAGCAGTATAGCAGCTAAGAGAGGGAGAGCCGCTGGGAGAGAAAGGTAGATATGTACATATGTACTGTGTAGATAGGGGAGGGTTCTGCTCCAGGTTGTTGCCTTGAGGTTACGTCCCCTCACTGCGCACGATCTGAACGAAATACGATATTTCGTACTTCCAATCAATGCACTTGAGATTTATTAACAACATGTCATGAATTGTAAATAGTGCACTGATTCCGTAAAACAGGAGAGATGGTGTAGAAGAGCCGGAGTCCTAATCTCTGCCTTCTATCTGCCTGGTAGTCAGTAGCACGTCGTCCGTCTCTCCTTCTTTCTTGTGGTCGGTAGGGTATTAGAGAGAAAAGGTTTTGTGTTTTGTGGCACAATTTACGTAATATAGCTGAAGCATACCACAACCTCTGGACCTGGACATTTTCTAAGCTCGATGATTACTCCACAGCAGAAGGAGTGGCGGTGCCGAAAATGGCGGCATTGGAACCATCTCGGCGAGGTCGTTCCTTCCGAAAACGCACCAATTTAGTGTTGGCATCCTCTTCTGCGTGGAGTCAAACTCGAACTTTGACAATCGATCCAGGGGGTGCGGTGTCTTGTGTCACCAACGGGACACATTTGCACTTCATTCTGCGCAGGAAGCAACCTCATATTACTCCATCTGTATGCTGCGTATAGACTAAGAATCTACACATTGAAGCACAAAGTAATTGACAGGTTGTAGTCTAGACTATCTATCTCTGTAGTCCCGGGCGTGCCAATAAAATTCTTCAACAACAATCCGTCAGGGTCAGAAAAAGGGTGTGTAGTATGTGAACGTCTTGGTTTCTTTTTGTGACGGAACAACCCTCAGATGCAATACGGTGTTCCTTCCCTGAATACACGACTGGTAAAACTCTTTTTCTCAACATTAAATGGTAAAAAGTAGCAACAACAGACGGGACACGAACGAAAGAGACTTTCCCCATCATCACCTTACTCTCTCGGTACCATTTATTTGTAACTTCGGTTGACATCCTGCCAAACTGATGCCTGCTATCGTCCGTAAGACTGAGGTCTGCCTCTGCCGTCCTATCCTTGGTTTGACGGATACGTCCGCTGAGCAACACCGGATGATAAATATCACAGCCCAATACTATAACGGTGTGTGTGCACAAAAACTCACGACGCACACACATCCAAACAAAACAAAAAAAGAGCCGTTACAAGTCTAGACTACATGTATTCAACCGAATCCCACCCGAACTTCTCGGTGACCCCAATAAGCAGGTCACACGATAGTGCCACCACCGTCCTCTCTCTTCCTGGCGCCATTTTGGTGCCCTTTGTGTTAATCCGACCGTAAGCTGCATTGCTCCCCAAAAGCCCTCCTCTTGAAAACCTTGTAGAAAAATACTGCTGCACGTGCACCAAGACTTGTTCCGCCCACATGCCATTTTACCCGGACTATGTCCCAAGGGCAGGATGCAGGCTATCCATCTTGCTGTGCAAGCGCCAAAAAACAAGAAGAAAAAAATGAAAGCGAGAGGAGGCCGGCGAGAAACCTCGGAAAATCGTGTTTTGTACACATACATTATTATCCGATACGACGCATGCCAGACCTCTCGTCTGTCCCTCATGTTCCCGAAAATCCCGCTTGATTGATTCATTCGCCACCATAAATACTCTTTTTCCCGTTGGTTTTTGTGATTTGTCCGGGTTCCGTCAATAGTATTTCTCTCTCCGGCTCGCTGACCTCCATAATCACATACCTTCCCGTAACAAAATTCATCCCGGAGTAGGCAAACAAACCCTCAAACCCATAAATTTAAGTAAGTCTACACACGAAACCCCCCGGCAACTAACGCTGACTGACATATCCTACGTTCGATGAGAATTACAAATACGACGACAAGAGGATGACTGGATAGATCAAGAACGTACGAGCCTGGTACAATTATCACGCAGACAGACACGACAATACCAAGGCTATTTGCATACGACATCGATAAAAAGCGAGACACTCAGTAACACGCACACTGGAAAAAGACACGGTCCGTCCTGACGATGAAACGTTTGTTCGGCTTGCAATCCAAGAAGTCACAAAAAAACGTTCAAAAGCAGGGGGTAGACCGCCGGAGTGGCGAAATACACAAGAACCACGTACGGTTTCTCCATCACAACAAGGACTGCTACAAGTAACGTTGAGGGGACACCCGCCTGCCCTCCTTGCCCCTGCGTGTACGTACCCAATGCGACGGATTGCCATGTATGTCCAATCCCCTCAAGACTACAAGTTTGGCTGAATTTTACGTCAAGATACACCCCGAACGTACCCTCAACTCCTTAGAAACTGCGTCAACACTCGCCTCCAGGCATTCTGGAGTCAGCCCTCCCTCTCTACCGCTGGACAAGCCAACCCAACATTCTTCCCTGTCCTCCCCCTCCTCCGACAGAAAAACAAAAAAAAAGTCCTCCTCGAGTCTCTGCAACCGATGATGATGCGGTGGGAGGGGAAGAGGCAAAATAAACTCTGTATGATATCCAGCGCCATCTCAACTCACAGCAGCAGTGGCGGGACTTCAGCCGCATCAATAGAAAAACATGCACACGCGCGTTCAGACGCCATGTGAACAGCAGTGATTCGTTGACATGGACGGGGGCCTGGAACCAACTATGGGCCTAGCAGATCTCCTGCCGCCGCGAAAATTACCAGCAGGTGCAGGAAGCAACTCGGCACGAGACAAGAGAAGAGAAAAGCCACCGCAGACGAGCCCCCCATGCAATAAAAAATATTCAAGTACTGAATTGTAGACAAAAACGCCACATTTTTCAAGGCGGGAGACGAGACGAAAGGTTCTCGCGAACGCTCGCACGAACGTTCTTACGAACGGTGCTTGGTTTCGCTGGCTCCTCAGTCTCTCTCGACAACAAGAACAAGAAAACGAAGGAACAAGAGACAGCAGCCGCAACAGCAACAACGACAACAACAAAAACAACGAAACCGACTGACCAGTCTACACAACAACGAGTAACATGGGGAACGCGTCCAATAAAAATAATCTTCACCGTCATACGTACTCAACAACACAGCATACGTGCGACATTTTCAGCGACGATGGTCTGTGAATAGTTCGAGAACACGAACGGCAACCAGAACAGCTTCGCCCCGCCGGCATACGTACCGGAGCCCGACCCTTCTCAACAACACGCACGTCGGATTTCACTGGACACAGCCAAAAAACTACATAAACATGTAACAGAAATAATATCCGTGACACCGACCTCCTGCGTGGCGCCAATCACAAAAACACCGACGTGCGCTAGAAACGATTAGAAGGGACATAAAACACACCACACGCTACTGTACTCTTGCAGCAAACACTAACAAGAAGAGATGCATCAAACCGCGCCGCAAAGTTTCATGTAACCCTTCCGTCCGCCATCTCGACCTCTAGCACTCAAACCCCCATCCCACTCAGCACGTTCCGTAAGTGCGACGGTGGGGTATCAAGTCTGGCCTACTATCCCCCCCCCTCTCTGCCTCTACGGCATCGTACACTATCTGCTCGTGCCCCTTCTTTTAGCACTGCCTCTCCCTGCCCCTCTCCATTTTCTCCCTCCTTCGAAACGGACAAACACACACGCTCAATCCATGTGCTGTTACTGTCTAACCTCCGCGTCCAGAATTCTTGGTGCGTTCTCCGGAGGTCCCACGGCCTCTGCTACCGTAGTATCCCTGCCAAATCCCACCCCATCCCATCGCACCCCATCCCGTCCCATTCCGCGGTCGAATCGCACCGGGTCGAAACCGCAGCAGCAGCGCATTATAGCCACAAGCAGCAGCAAGCGCGACGATACGAAAAAACATGGGGCAACAGGGTGGAGACAAGTCAGCAACAACAACAGGGCAAACTTATGGTGGCGGGGCATGCAAGTCGTAAGACCACTGACCTCGCATCCCTACAAGGCCGGGACGGAGCACGCCCGGTTTTCCCCGGACCAAGCTAGCACTTCCCCAAGCGGGAAGCCCCAGGGGGGGGGGGGGGGGGGGGGAGCTCTACTGATGTGCAGGCAGGAGACAACGCCATCGGCGCTTTTGCATCCGCACAAAAGAGACTGCGAAAAACTCTGGGGTCTTGACCGACGAGGCAAGGGCCGGGTGTTATGTACAACGAAAGCCTCGAGGTAATCGTTCGTGCCTTGTCGGGTACACCTGTACCTTTTTCTGTCGATGAACCGCGAAATATGAGAATAAAGTATTTTTCCGTTATCACAAGGGCCGGGGGGGCGGGCGATCATGGTATGCGTGTGGATGCGCCAATCATATTGCAGGGGGGGGGAGCACAAAGTAAATGAAGGAGCGGTCACAAGCACACGTGTGGACAACGTCCATACCCATCGCGTCCCCACTGGCTACAGACAGCGTGACACATCCCCGCCAATCGTAGAATAATTATGGTGCAAAACCCACACACCGTCATCGGCAGCCCGAACTCTTCATCACGGATGATGCAAGAAAAAAGCATTCCAAGCAGCAGCGGCTGTAACAGCTACAAACGACGGCAGCACAACAACAACAACGACAAAAACTTACCGGTCCCTCTTGGGAGAGCGGTTCCTCTTCTTCTTCCTGTGGACGAAGTAGAGCGCAGTCAGGATAAGCCCTACCGCCACGGCAACGCCTCCAGCCAACCCGACTCCGATATTCGCCTGCCCGGCACATGATATCGGACCAGCAACGTTGAAAAACAAAACAAAATGGTACCATTTTAGTTTCAAGAGCGTCATTCACTAGGTCTTGTTGGTCGTTAAGATAATACCTATCGATGGTTGAGGAAACAAATGAAACAGTGTCCCTTGTGTTTGTGGTCTTCGGCCTACTACATATCTCGCGAGGCTGGTGTTTACTGCTGTTTCGTTGGCATTATCGAAGGAGGGGCCGGGACGCCCGCCCGCCCGCCCGCCCGCCCGCGCCGGTCTAGTGAGACGCGACTCACCGCCGCGTCACGCAAGCTAAAAAACGCATCGACGGTATTAAGGTCTAGACCCACACACGACCGTCTCCGTTGGAAACATTTTCCGGCGTATTTACTACTTGGCATCTACGGAGCCCCCACGGCAGTGCAGCTCATCGCTCTCATCACCATCCCATCCCGTATTGCACCCTCCCCTCAACTTGCCCTCCCGCCTTGCCATGAAAATCTCGTCGTTTATCTTAGCTCGCATCGCACTACCTTGGGTTGACCTCTTCCCACTACAATCGTCTTCTCGGTCCGGCTCGGTTTCGTCGCACTTGGCGTACTTCAATGGCACACCGCATCTCAAAGCTTTATCTACCTACCCCCTTGTAAGTGCGAGATCGGCCGACAGCGGCGGCAGCAGCAGCAAGCAGCGCAATCTCTCCCCATCTCACCCCTTCCATGTTGCCGCCGTCCCCGCTGTCGTCCTCTTCCTCGGAGAGGGAGCACGACGGCTCCGTGGAGGTGCTCGTGAAGTTCGACCCGCAGCAGGTCCTCTGGGTGTAATCCCACCTGACGATTCGCAAAAGACACACACACGCAAACACGAGAGCATTCAGCGCCAGCGAGCGGACCGCGGCAGACAATAGATCAAGGCCGACTTCTTGTGCCATGCTCCGGAGCACCTCGTCTCCTAAACTACTGTGTCCGCAATGACTACAGGTGAGGGTTAGAGCCCGGTACACCCTCACTTGGAGCTCACTTTTTCTGTAAGCATTATGAAGTTTTGGGGGGTTCGGCGAATAATTGGGCTCCTCTTAATGTTCGAGAAACACAATCTTAAACGCACACGCCAAGAGTTCAGCCAATGCAACTATTATTAGGACATTCCGTTCAGGCCTGGTTCACACGACAAAGGTGTCACCAGACACGACACGAGATGACCAGGAAACCGTCATTTGCGAGTAGCATACGTAGCGGGTTCTTTACCCGCGGGCAGACTGCGGTGTCTGACGCCAATCGCTTGTGAAGGAAAGCATCTTGCGCACACGGTCAAGCACGAGTCACACATGCAACAGAGAGGACTGGTGATACCTCGAGACCTTGGCCATGCCAGCTGCCCGCAGCAGCTCTGGCTGACCAACAGCCTAGGGGAGCAAAAACACAACGCCCTACCACCACTCCGTTGGAATCTACAACGACGGTTCACTACCTCTCGAGTGGTACAACAACGCACAAACATGTCGACAGAGAAAAAAAGGCGTAGCATACAACGCACCCAGCAAAGTCCGTGTTTTGCCACAGGTCGGTTGGGTCTGCCGATGGAAACAATAACGCCGACGGCCAGCAGCATCAAGAATTTTCCGTCCGCATCCGCATCGGCACCCGCAGCCAACACAAGAGATGTTGACAGACAGAGAGAGATGTCGACAGACAGAGAGAGATGTCGACAGACAGAGAGAGATGTCGACAGACAGAGAGAGATGTCGACAGACAGAGAGAAATGTCGACAGACAGAGAGAGAGAGAGAGAGAGATGTCGACAGAGGGACAGAGAGAGAGAGAGAGAGAGAGAGAGAGAGAGAGAGAGAGAGAGAGAGAGAGAGAAACACACGCACGAAGAGGGAGGGAGGGAGGGAGGGGAGGGAGGCGGCATGAACATACCTCCTAGCACAGCACCACCTCGCTGCTCCACAGTACAACATAGCATAGCATAGCATAGCCAGCCCAAGCCCAACAGCAGTGCACACCACAACCAACTCCGCACAGGCTCGATGAGCCCAGCTGACCTCACAGGACGCAAGCCCCCCCCCCTACCTTTGCTTAGCCGGGATGCCCAACCAACCCATGGCACATGTGGTATGGCACAGCCAACGCAAGGATGATAATGAGCAGCTTCTGGTTCATCCTGGTGACAACGTAGCCCGGGCCGGCGAAAACCCGGCATATCGTTCCGTCCCGTAGGGATGCAAGGTCAATGGTCTACAGACTACGGCATGCGCTTATATGAGTACACGCCTACTCCTCTCACATTCCGATTCCTCCATGCACCGGACGGGCTCCAGGCTGCCGACCGTCGAGCAGTCCACGCCCTCGGTGGTGTTGTCGCACACACTCAGGGAGGAGATGGAACCACGAAACACCTGGGGGGGGGGGGGGGGGTCGGAGTCCGTTCGTTTCGTGTGCTTATTGTGTGGACCGCCTTACATTGGGTGTGATGTTCCAGCCTACCCAAGCACCCAGCAAAGAGTGATACAACGTGCAAAGGTTGCCGTCGCAACGGCACAGCCCAATGTTCCCAATGTTCTTTTTGCAGAGGAATGGCCAACAACAACAACAAGGACATGGACAAGACAACGAAACGACCATGATCACGGCAACGACAACGGCAACGACGGCGACAATGACCACATCAGCTGCACACCTGTCCATGAATGCTGTGCTTCCTGTTCTCATAAAACTTACTTGTAAGACACACACGATTCCGAGGTGCAGCTAGTCACCCAGGACTGTTTGCAAACACAAAAAAAAAAAACACCTACACTGATGTAAACGTGTGGGTGTCCGACGAGTTTGACGGCGGGCAAGAGGTCACCTGTCGCTGGCACTCGGTGAGACTGAAGGTCGGACAGGCTTCATTCTGGGACTCGAGGGCCTCCCTAACCTCGTCCTCGGTGTAGCCTTGGTCCACGAACGTCTTCCGTTGTCGCAGTCGTCGTAGCCATAGTAGTTAGTTGCGTAGTAGCCGTATTTGTAGTCGTGGTCGTGGTCGTGGTTTCGTAATGTGCACGGAAGATTAGGCCAGAAAGAAATGAAAAAGGGGACATGTCTGAATCAAAACGGCTTCGAAGAAACTGAAGAAAGCGAGACGACTGCAAAGAGGGACGGAGACATCACCGACAAACCCTCTACAATGCTCAAATTTCGTAACCCCTCATTGTATTAGTGTTTCCGGTTGCTTTTCATCAGGTTATCGGAGCTCTTCGCAATAGAACAACACAAGACCTCCGCACGGAGGTGGCATAAATAACGAGCCACCACCTCCCCACCTCCCACGCAGTTTTTCACACTTGAGAAAGCAGGAGCGCGGGAGAGGGGGAGCACCTCGTGTTTCGCAAGCCACTGCGGTTGGACCATTGACCACGCGTATTCGAGAGGACGGAGCATTGCTGCCGCAGGGCCGATCACCGATGGCCAATCGTTCCTTCCTGCACTGCAATCTGACGATGAAAGGTCCGACCCACCCCACCCCACCCCACCCCACCCCGTTTTCTTTCCCATTTCTTATGTTTTTCTCTCATCCACGCCGATCGAAGAGTGAGACCACTGGCGTCCAGCAAGCCTATCTCTCGCCACAGCAAAGGCCTTGTTGCAACCATGAAGGACGCCCACGTGCCACCCTTGACCAACTTAGAAACACAACCACAACAACACCGACACCACCACCACCACCACCACCACCACCACAATCGCCGGTCAAACAGCACGGTTTCCACCACCAACACCAGGCGCCTGCAAGGCTAGCGCCTCGTAGCCCACGCGCACGCGCTACTGTCTACTGTACCTGTACTTTGAAGTCCATCGCCACGACTCCGAGGAAGACGGGAAGGGTGGAGGTAGTGGAGTTGGTGTCGTAAACGGGAGCCGCGATCGTGAACCCCAGGTCGCCGCCGGTGGCGAACGCGTCTGTTGGCCATGGGGAGGAGGGAGGGGGGGGGGGGGGAGGGGGGGACTCCTAATCCCATGGCGGAATCCTTAAACCATTGGGGGGGGGGGCGGGGGGGGGAAGCCCGGGGAAACAAAAAAACCCGGCAAAAAAACGCCCCGAGGAAACCCACTTGTAGGGCCC